CGGGTGGCACCCCAACTCCCCAATCGGCCCTGCTCTGAGCCCAACCAGGGGCTGCACCTAGGGATTGGGCCTGCCCTCTGCCACCCGGGAGCGGGCCTAAGCCGGCAGGGGTCCCAGACTGTGAGAGGGCACAAGTGGGGCAGAGGGACACCCCCCCACACCAGTGCACAAATTTTTGTGCACCGGGCCTATAGTGGAATATAAGGTGAGTAGAATTATGACATCAAAACCTTGATATGAAAGTGTTATGGAATACAAATCAACAACTTAGTGATTAAGAGCACAGACTTTTAACAGTACAGATCTACATTTGAGTCTAACTTATTAGCCTTAGTAGCTGTATAATCCTGGATGGGCAAGTTACTTAACAACTGAGCCTTGATTTCCTTTCTCTAAAATAGTATGGACAATAGTATAATTTACATCAGGTAAATACTTAGTGCTTGTATAAAATAACCCTTCAATAATTTTGAGGTATTATTGTTTTTATTCTTATCTTCCAATATGAATCCTTCACACTGCATTTAATTGCTGATATACAAAAAATATATAACAAAATTTTTTTTCTTATGTGACCCCATAACAAGAATCCCCCAAATGATATTATAATAAGGTTTAGACATACCACAGTATTAAAACTCTTCAGATTTACAAAAGCACATCCTTACCTTGTTTGGTGAATAAATATCATCTTGAAATAGTTAGAAAAAGCAGCAAGCACTGCTCTGTGGGCTTTGAAGTAAACGTCTCCAATAGCAACTGTGCAATCACACAGAAAACCAAATTCTCGTTGCATGTTCAGCTGCTGCAGAAGGACAAGGCTATGGCTAGCTGTGTCCATTGTGGCTCTAAGAAAAAGGAGAACATAAAGATTTTAATTACAAAATTGGCTACAGTTCACATAAGCCTGAGTACAAGGAGACCTACATTTAAGTAAAATTATTCAATAATTTTCTTTATTTTAATCCTCATTGAGGATATTGATTTTAGAAAGGGAGGAAAAGAGGGAGGGACAAATATCAATGTGAGAAAGAAACATTGATCAGTTGCCTCCCAAACACACCCAAACCAGGGATGGAACCCATAACCTAGGTATGTGCTCTGACCTGGGACTAAACCAGCAACCTTTTGGTGTATTGGATAATGCTCCCACCAACTGAGTCACCCAGCTAGGGCAACAATTTTCTTTTACTTTTAATTACAGTTTATATTACATATTATTTTATATTGCCCTGGCTGAGTAGCTCAGTTGGTTATTTTCGTCCTGATGCACCAAGGTTGCCAGTTGGATTCCCCAGTCAGGGCATACAAGAATCAACTAACGAATCATAAATAAATGCAGCAACAAATTGATATTTCTCTCTATCCCTTCTTCTCTCTCACTCGTGTGTGTGTGATTTTGTATTAGTTTCAGCTGTATAGCATACTGGTCAACAATTTTCTATTAATTTCACCCCAAACGTAGCTAACACTAAACCTTCCTAATAGGACAATCGGTATCAACCCTACTGAAGCCATAAACATGTGGCTTTTCTTCGCCTGGTAGAAGGTAGCCTGGTATGAGTGACACGGAAGCAGAAGGCAGGCCTGTCCTCTTTTATCTATGCAACCACAAAGTTTTCAGTCCTCAGTTTTCTTCACGAGACAAATGGGAATGGGACATTGATCCCTGCCTCAGAGCTAAGAGAAGTTAGGTGAAAAGCACTGTGTAACTGAAATGCTCCTCAAATGTTAGCTATAAATATTAATAACGTAACAGTGTGTCCTGGCTGGGCTAGAGGTGTCTGCTCCGTAGGGGTCCTCGGTGTGTAGGGGTCCACTGGTGCCCTACCTACCATACAATGTTTGGGAAACTTATCAGTCACAGTAAGGTCAGGAGCCTTTAAAATAGATGTCAAGCCACATCTCCTGATTTACAGGAGGCCTGGGAGTCTCATGGGAAAGAACCTAAACCCTGATCTTAACTGGATTCAGACACATATAAGTATGGAGAGTCCTGACGGAAGTAGAATGCCGGATGGGTGCACTAGTCTCAGGGAAAAATCATGCATGAGGAAGAACATGCAGAAGAATTCTGGCAGAGAAGTCTAGTGTGAGTACCAGGGCATTCAAGAGTGCTGTGGCTCCAGAGAGGTGGGAGGCTGTGCTTGACCACCTTCTCCACCCCACTGTTCAGAGAACCCCAGTGCTTTAGGGTGAAGGCAGCTATGGTATAGAGGGCACCCCTGGGGGGCTGGGAGAACCTCCTCTAAAAAAGCAGACCTAAACAGAGACTGAAGTTTCCTTCCTAGCCAGAGAGTCCAAGGGATAAGCAAGTGAGTGATTAGACTGTGGGGTTAGCTACCTGGGCATTGGCAATAGCTTGAGCAGCAGACAGTTGAGTGACTGATAATGTAATAAAAATAGCTAACATTATATAGAGCTTCCTATATGACAAGCAATATTTCACTAATTCTCAGTACAACTCAATGAGAAAGGGACTACTCAATGAATCTTACATATGAAGAAACTGAATCAGCACAGAGAGTTAATTTACCCAAGGTCATTGCTAGTGAGTGGCAGAGCAAAGGATTCAAACTCAGGCAATGGGTTCCAGGACTCAAACGTCCTCCCTCTCTACCTCCCAGAGAACATGACACACAAACTAGAGGAGCCGAGGGAATAGTCGGGATTAGACAGCAAGGGGCCCCGGGAAGTCTCAGCAATATTTGGAGTAAAATGTTTGCTCCTGGGAGGGAAACGAGGGAGCAGGGAGTTAAGGATGGAGGGAACTGTACTGTTTAAACTTAAAATAAAACCTTTTATGCAAATTTTATATCATAAATATATACAGTGGGGCCTTGACTTACGAGTGTCCTGACTAACGAGTTTTTCGAGATACGAGCCGTCTCTCAGCCGATTTTTTGCTTTGAGTTGCGAACTAAAATTCGGGTTACGAGCCAGCTTCAGATACCCCATGGCTAGTTGGCGCAGCGAACGTCACAGTGAACACCACAACATCAGCCCAGCATTCAATTCATTGTAATGGTGAAAATTGATTTGACATACAAGTAATTTGAGTTATGAGCTCCATCACGGAACGAATTAAACTCGTAAGTCAAGGTCCCACTGTACCTACATGTAATCCCTTTCCCCTAATTTTTAATTTTATTATTTTTTAAATTTTTATTTTATTTCTGAGAGTATTACAGATGTCTCTCATTTTCTCCCTTTTTGACCCTTCCACCCTACCCTCACCCCACTCCAGGCCTTGATTTTTTATTTTGCATTATTTTATTTAAAAAAAATTTTTAAATCCTCACCCGAGGATATGTTTTTTTTTAATTAATTAAAATTTTAATTTATATTTTGAGAGAGAGAGAGAGAGAAAGAGAGAAACATCAATTGGTTGCCTCCCACACCCAAAGTATGTACTTTGACCAGGAATCAAACCCAGACTGTTTGGTGTACAGGATGATGCTCCAACAAGATGCTGCCTCCTGCATGTCCCCTACTGGGGATTTTAGATTCTCTGAAATGAGTCAAATTGAAGTACCTTAAACTAGCCTTATAAATTGTCTCCAAAAAATCCCCCCAGATTTGCCGAAACCGGGTTGGCTCAGTGGATAGAGTGTCGGCCTGCGGACTGAAAGGTCCCAGGTTCGATTCCGGTCAAGGGCATGTACCTGGGTTGCGGGCACATCCCCAGTAGGAGATGTGCAGGAGGCAGCTGATCGATGTCTCTCTCTTATCGATGTTTCTAACTCTCTATCTCTCTCCCTTCCTCTCTGTTAAAAATCAATAAAATATATTTAAAAAAAAAAATCCCCCCAGGTCATAAACATTTTCACCAGTTCTCTACACACACACACAGTACATTAATAGAATGAACTACTGAACCATATGGAAATGAAAATGGCACACTAAAAAGCCACATATAAAAAAATATTGTGGTTAATGGTGTATGAGTAACAGTAAAATTCACTTATTGAAAAAATATTTATTGAAGAGAAATTTAATAAAGAAAAATATCTGAAAGCATGCATTGCACAAGGCATAGGGACAGAAAAAAATACATAGATGCTGAAATCAAGAAGATTATAAGCTAACAGGGGAGATAAAACATAGTAATTACAACATGAAGTGACAAGTGCCATAGAGCAGCTCGGAGAACAAGTTATGTGAGGGAGGATAAATAACAGGAAACCCAAAGGAAAGTAAGCCATTTGAACTGGATTTAGACGAATAGCAGGTGAACATAGCACTGCAGGCAGAAAAAACAGAATGCGTAGAATTACAGGGAGGGATATAAATATATAGATAATTGAAGAATTCAGTTTGGCACAGAAAAAAAAACAAAAGTAGGTAGATCCCAGTCAGGGCATGAAAGGAAGTGAATGGGGTCAGCTAGCTCACTGAATATAAACTAAAAGGTACTCCAGTGGTGTCTGGTAAGATGTTTTCTGTGAGAGAGAACAGTGTAGTAGTTAAAGACTGACCTCTGGAATCAGACAACTTGGATTAAAATTCTTGCTCTGTCACTTAGTTGTGTGGTCTTCACAAAACACAACTCTCTAGTCCTCCATTTCAGTTATAAATATGGGTAATTATGGTATCTACCTCACAGGTTGTTAAGATGATGCATATAAGCACTTAGAAATGTGGTCCCATAGGAAGTGTTCAATAAATAGCACTCATCATCACCACCACCATCATTTGGCTTCTGAGTCTCAAGACTAGTCAGTTTAGTTGGAATATATTTTAAAAAATTAGTAAGTGAAAGGCATGGAGAAATGAAGAACAAGGAGCCTACTGCAATATCCAAGTAATGGTGTAAATGAAGGAAAGAATACGATCCACCAGACGTAGAACTGACGTGACTTGGCAGCAGACTGGAAGTGGTCAGCTCCAGAGATCAAGTCAAAGGTGAGTCTCAGAATTCAGCTTGGGTAATTGGAAGACTGTCCATTCCTTCAGGTCATATTTGCAGAGTAACTGCCATGTGCAGGAGTTGATATAAAGGCAGCATCTCGGAATGCCAAAGAAGAGACACAGAAACTGGCTTGGTAAGAGTCAAGTTTCACTTTGGACACACTGATTTCAAGTGTTCACTTAGGACATCCAAGTACATGCGTTTAGTGATCAGAGCAGGGACAACATGCTGGTCTGAGGTTCTAGAGAGAGCAGGGCTGGATTGGGAGAGGAGGTCCTCTAAAATGACAAGGCTGAAGCTGCCGGAGTGAATGGGACTATCGCGTAAACGAACAGAAAATAAGGTAAGAATAAATCCTTGAACAACACAGAAAAGATACAATAAGCGGGAGAGGAGAAATAAGAGAATACACTATCTTTGGGGGAGGATAAGGGAGGTGAGGGAAAGGTGAGAACCTTGGCAAGAGGAGGTGGCAATGACGGAAAATGCTGCAGAGTAACACCGGGATGAAGCCTGTTACAACACCCCGAAGTGTGTGACCAAAAGGTTTCTGGTGACCTATGAAAACAATTTGGGAAAACAGCAAAAGCAAAATATCTGACTGCAAGGTTCTACTGGAAAGCAGCAGCCATAAGGGTAGGTACAAGTAAGATAGGTCATTGAGGTTGCTGCAGATTGAAGATAACTTTCAGGCTAAAGAGGGGGTGGCACCTCGAGAAGCCAGAAGGAATGCAATCGAAAGTATAAGCATAGCAGTTAGCCATGGAGAAAAGAGGGGTTTCTTTTTCTGACAGTGGAGAGGAAATGGTCAATGTGAGGAGAGAGTATTCAAAAGTATTCTTTTAGATGTCACTGATTTACAAATTAGAAGTCAGTCCACATGCAAAGGGAAGAGGTTAAGTTTAGGCCTTGAAAGGAACCTAGAATAATAATTCC